CGTTTTGTGTGTTAGGACATGCTCAAACACAGACAGTGCAGCATACATTTGTAAGAGAATTCGCTAAAAATGCACCAACTGCAATGCAGATTTTGACATGGCACAGAAACTTTAAAGAGGAAGGCTTCCTGTTCAGGGCAAACTACCCGAGTCACAGGTGCTGCACATTGAAAACTGGTAAAAATTCATATAATCGTTCATGAAATCCATGTACCTTTGAATTTCTCATTCAAATTTTGATCTTATTTTGCTCAGCAATAAGTCTATTTAATTTCAATAGTTACTCAGATATTGACAGATCAAATAAGATTTAAAAAAAAAACTGTATTTGATTTTCTATTAGGCACTTTTTTTTAAATAAAAGGAACTAAATAACACACATTCACACAATACTACCCACGCAAGGGTGCACACACAAGCGCGCACACACAGGCGCATACATACACACGCATATGAAGATACGCACACGTTTACATACGCCAGTACATACACGCGGACCCAATTATTTGCTGTAGGATTTCTTTAATTTTATAATTTTTAATAATTTATAATTTTAAACATAGTTTTAAATCAATAAATACAAATTTACTTTAAAATAAAATAAAATCTCCCGTTGTACTGAATTTTCATCAAATTCTCATTTTATTAATTTTAGCTATAATTTTGTATAAATTTTAATTAGAGTGTCTCCTAATGTATGGAGTAATGGATAGTGGCTCAATTTGAGGAATCAGAGAGCCGAGTTCAAATTTCAGTCAAGTTTGTTACATTCACTTACGTGCAAAGATTAAACTTTACAAAATATTAAAAGTAAAAATAAAAAAAAATCCCCCAATCTATTTTCAATCAATTTGGTAATAAGATATTCTGTTGTTTTGATAACACGAGGCATGTTCGCTTCGAACGGTTAAGTTCCCAAATATTATTTTCAGAAACTGATCAAATGACCAAATATCATATATTTCTTGGACAAGCGTTTCAACAAACTCTTTATATATATATATATATATATATATATATATATATATATATATATATATATATATATATATATATGCATCAATCACGTAATTTCTTTATAAAAAAGACAGTTATTTTATTTGTTTTTTATATATATATATATATATATATATATTACATGAATCATTCATACAAAAAACAGATATAAATGTTAATGATAATGGCGAGAATACATCTTCGCAAACAAATTTAATAAAGTACATTTGTATGAATGATTCATGTAATGTAAATTGAATTGCACCACATACTTGATATATATATATATATATATATATATATGGAGGACTCACCCATCATTTATCGACGTATGAAGGTCCAGTAGCTGAGTTCTTAGAAGCCAACAGTCAAACTACTTGCGCATAGGATTTGATTATAGTAGCTTGTCCAGAGCCGAATACTGGTGAACAGCATGCTACAAGGTCTTAAAACGACCTTTCTCAGGTTTTGAATTTTGAGTTGTCCTTCTCCCAAACCTTCATACCATTCCCAAGAGTATTAGCACGTTAGTCAATGTAATGAACTTGGCTAGCTGATTCCTCAACCTGAGGCCTACAGACCTATATATATATATATATATATATATATATATATATATATATATATATATATATATATATGAAGAAAAAATATATACGGAAAAAACAAAACAAAATCCTTATATACGATTATGCTGTTTTAATGTTAATATGTCAACGTCTGACGTTTCGGTCTAATAAACCATCTTCAGGACATATTCATAAATATAACATTATCAATACAACATGACAAAGACGATGTACATTAGAACAAGACTTATCTAAACAAATAACTATATTAACATTAAAACAGCATAATCGTATATAAGTATTTTTTTTTTGTTTTTTCCGTATATATTTTTCTTCATACTGTCGGATCTATATCCATATATTTGCTTACATATATATATATATATATATATATATATATATATATATATGTGTGTGTGTGTGTGTGTGTGTGGAGGCACGGTGTAGTAATATATATATATATATATATATATATATATATATATATATGCATCAATCACGTAATTTCTTTATAAAGAAGACAGTTATTTTATTTGTTTAGAACAACGGAATAACCGATTACTATGAAACGAAACCAAGTTGCATAACGGATAAATATGTAAATGTAATTTATATTATAAAATAGATGTGATCTATGAAGTTATAGGATGAGCTATTTCTATAAATTCTTCCAACTATTATCTTCATCATTGTTGTCTTAGTCACTTTAATATCACTCAATAAGAAAATCTCAAATGCAGCAGGAATCTGTGTCGATCGGTTTTGTAAAATGTTTTAAAAGAATTAACAAAACTTTGTAGTGCTCCTTCAAAATTTCTCTTTACGACACAGCTGAGGCAGCCCGTAGAATGTGTCTGGTGAAATATATTAATTGCTTCTCGATGTAAACCTATACTGGATTACACGGGGAAGTTGAAATATCTATTTTAATATCCGATTTTTCTAATGATCGTAGAATGGCGATTTGGAATTTGCAATAAAAAGCGACTGAAATTTAGTTAAAGCAATTAAGGGAGAGCTCCACGTTCAAATTACAAATTGGCGATACCAAAATCAAGCAATGGCAACAAGTTGAATATATGGGAAGTGTTTTAACATGGGACGGAAAGTGCAACACTGATATCCGGAGTCGCATTGGGAAAGCGAAAGGTGCCTTCCAAAAATTAAACAAAGTATTAAGAAACAGGAAAATTTCGTTAGAAACAAAGAAAAAGTGGATTGAAATTTAACGTAATACAGTACCTCCTATATGGCAGTGAATTCTGGACAATCTCCTGACAGATGAAGAAGAGACGTGAAGCAAGAGAAATGTGGTTCTACAGAAGGATGCCGAGAATACCTTGGAACGAACATGCGTGCAATGAAGAAGTTCTAGACATAATGGAAACAAAAATGATACTTAACATCAGGAAAAGACATCTGAAATTTCTATAATGAGGAAAGATGGCTTGGAAAATTTAATACTCAGAGGACAGATTGAAGGAAATAGTGACAGAGGAAAACCTACCGACGAGCAATGCAGAACAAAATTTAGGAGAGATAAAAACATATTAAGAGCTACAAAGGACAGGAAATTGTGGAGAGCCATGATCGCCAATGTTCTGTAGGATCACGGCACACAGAAGAAGAATTAATCGCGGAAATTTGATAGTAATAAGAATATTAATGCGCAATGATCTGGGGGTAACTTATATTTATTGCAAAAATAAAAAAAATGGAAATTAAATTAATTATGATTAACGATTAAATTAATTAAATTAACGATGGATTTTATAAAATGATATATATAATTTTTATCGAAGTGCAGTCTCTTTGCATCCTGGTGCATGACACGCCCAATTATTTAAGGAGCCAAATGTACAACGTTACGTTGAGTGCATATTCGACACCAAACCAGTAACGATACTGTTGTCACTGAGAACTCATTTTCAGGATTTGCTGAATCCGTCTTTTAAATTTCAAACCCGTGACGGCGAGGTTGCATTGACAATCTTTTAATTCAAAGACAACTTCTCGAGAGATGCAAAGATAGTCATTAGAACTTCGATGCTAACAGCTCTTCATTCTCTACACATAGAAAGAATGTAAAACCAAAAAGACAAAGGGGAGAAAAAAAAACCCACACGCATATTAGCTCGCATTGAAAGAGTAATCAAGCATAAAAGAAGAAATGCAACGGTTAACACCACAAATCCAGCCTACCCTCTTCATCAAACATTTCATGAAGCCGGCCTGTTAAACTGAGGATTGTCAGTGACAACTTGGAGCGGATGAGAGCTCTTCAGTTCTATCGCCAGTGACAAGCGACGTAACTGCTGAATGTATGTTACAGTTGCGCTGTTCTGTTTCTGTAGACTTCCTTTTTGGATAAACTTTTGTCAGTGTGTGTTCTTCATTTTGGGACATTCACCGCGAGACATGACGACAGAATTCTTGTATTTCGTCGCATCTTTAATTGTCGTAACCCTGACAAAGGTCATACAAACAGATTTAAAAACAAATTAAACAATATATATTTGTCTTTCAAAGAGAGTAAATACAACATAAGATCGGATTTGAATTGAGAACACACAAAATTACGTACAAGTAAAAACAAAAAAAAGCAAAACAAAAACAATAAAAAAACATTTACACCAATTTCATAGTTATCCTCCTCTTTATTGCCTTATTCACGACGTTTCAGCTGTTCTCTTCTTCAGGTGATATAAAATATGAAATTTTTAACTGAAACCTTTATTTAATCGATGGGCGTAGATTGCTTTAATTACACGTTCCACGTCTTTGGGTGCCTCGGCGTGGTGTAATGGTTAACAAGCTGGTCTTGTTAAAACAGTTTACAACAGAATAGTGAGTTCGATCCTCACTAGACGCCCCATGCTTTCGGCCATGTGCCACATCTAATCCACGCTTAGAAAGTAAATACACGTTTCATGCCTTTTTTCGATATCTCAATTTCAGTTATTTCTCTTTAGCAACTCAAATCTCCAAGTTTTTGTTCACCTCTGCTGTGGCCAGGTATTGAACTCACAACTCTTTGGCTCAAGTCACTTTTTGAATCACTCAGCTAACGCTTTTTTATCCACTCGGCCATGTGTCCTTGGGGGATAAAAAACAAACTTCTCAATCCTTCTGACCCCATCTCGTTTGAGCAATTGAGAGGCGGATGCCCAAAGAGGCCGCAGACGGGACACGGTATTTATTTGCCCCCCCCCGCTTATCAGGGTAAATATGATAAAAGGTTGACTCAATATTCCATCGGCGTTTCCCGCAGGGGTTCGGTCCTAATCCTGATGCCAGACAGTTAGCGTAATGGGGATGTGCTACTTAGGGAACGAATCTCCGGAGAAGAAAGATGTTTCATTTTGCCATCTCGACAGAATACGAGTCAAAAGGCCAAAAAGCAATTTGTTTATTATTAACAAACGAGTTAATCATTCAGTTAAAAAAAAATTGAGTAATTTGAGAGAGAGAGAGAGAGAGAGAGAGAGAGAGAGAGAGAGTAAAATAGTAAATAGGATGCATTCGAAGAAAGGGGAAGAGAGAAAAAAAAATGAAAGGTAGATATTCAAGTAAAAGACATTGAGAGAGTGAGAGAGAGGGGAAGAGAGAGAGAAAGGTAGAGAGAGAGAACTGATAAAAAGAGGAAGAGAGAAAGAAAGAGAGGAAGAGAGGGATAGAAGTAGAGAGAGAAAGAGAGAGGGGAAGAGAGAGAGATAGATAGAGTGGAATGGAGAAAGAGGAAAAGAGAGAAAAGAAGAGAGAGGGGAATAGAGGAAAAGAGAGAGAGAAAGGTGTCATTGACAAGAAAGAAAAGAAAATGTTGAGATGATGCGTTTGAAGAAAGAGATAGATAGATAGATAGATAGATAGATAGATAGATAGACAAAGCGAGAAGCAAATGTTCGATATATATATATATATAAAGAAAGTGTGTGAGTACGCGAGAGAAAAAGATAAACAGAAATAGGGGAAATATATAGATATTGATTTAGACATAGTAATTGTAAAAGATCAAGCGAAAGACTCGAATAAACAGGCAGAGATACATTATAAAAAGGAGTCAAATAATATAAGGAGAGAAATTAAGAGAAAAGGCGTCATGATTCGAGTTGTGAGTTTACACATGAACAGCAGTGATTTATTAACTATCAAGTAATTCTCACAAATGTTATTCGCAGAAAAGAAATTTTATATATAAAATATCAAGTCACTCTCGACTGAGAAGTTTTCCTTCACATCAACAATGTTTATGACTACCTCGCTACTGCCCGTTATTTTCTCGTTACGATCTCGCTAATATCTCGTTATTTTCTCGCTACTGTCTCGCTACTGTCCCGTGATTTTCTCGTTACTATCTCGCTACTGTCCCGTTATTTTCTCGTTACTGTCTCGCTACTGTCCCGTTATTTTCTCGTTACTATCTCGCTACTGTCCCGTTATTTTCTCGTTACTATCTCGCTACTGTCCCGTTATTTTCTTATTACTATCTCGCTACTGTCCCGTTATTTTCTTGTTACTATCTCGCTACTGTCCCGTTATTTTCTTGTTACTATCTCGCTACTGTCCCGTTATTTTCTTGTTACTATCTCGTTACTGTCCCGTTATTTTCTTGTTACTATGTCGTTACTGTCCCGTTATTTTCTTGTTACTATCTCGCTACTGTCCCGTTATTTTCTTGTTACTATCTCGTTACTGTCCCGTTATTTTCTTGTTACTATGTCGTTACTGTCCCGTTATTTTCTTGTTACTATCTCGTTACTGTCCTGTTATTTTCTTGTTACTATCGCTACTGTCCCGTTATTTTCTTGTTACTATCTCGCTACTGTCCCGTTATTTTCTTGTTACTATCTCGCTACTGTCCCGTTATTTTCTTGTTACTATCTCGCTACTGTCCCGTTATTTTCTTGTTACTATCTCGCTACTGTCCCGTTATTTTCTCGCCATTATCTCGCTATTAACCTGTTATATTCTTGCTACGATCTCGCTACTATGCCGTTATTTTCTTGCTAGTATCCTGTTATTTTCACGTTACTATCTGGCTATTTTGTGTTAGTACCTCGCTCCTATCTGGTTATTTTCTCGCTGCTTTTTCGTTACAATCTGGTTATTTTCTCGCTACGTCCTTGATATCTATCTCGCTACTATCACGTTACTATATTGTTATTTTCTCGCTACTGTCTATCTCATTACTACCACGTTACTATCTCGCTACTATCTCGTTATTTTCTCGCTACTACGTTATTTTTCCTTTACTATCTTGTTACTATTTACTTATCTTGCTACTATCCCGTTATTTTCTCGCTACTATCTCGCTAATGAGGGAAAAGTATTGCATAGATCGAAATGTCTTCAGTCAGTTAAGTGATCCCCCCTTCCAAGTATATAAAGAATTTTGAATAAATTTAATCCTGAATATTGAATAATTGGAAACTTGACTCTTTCGTGCTCGCAAAAAAACAGAGTGTCAAGGGGACGTTTTCCCCTTGACACCGCTATTATTTTAACTATCTTCACTCCTCGGCAATGTTTAGTTTTTTTTAAAAAGCGATGATTAGAATGGTAATAAAACCTAAACATATGATGAAAGTGAATTTATACATTTTCTTGTTCTTGAGAATTTGCAAGAAAAATATTAAACAAAATTTATTTATTAAATTATTTATCTGCAATTATTTATTTTATATTTACAGCATTCTAAAAAGTAATACATTTGTACTAAAACTGATGTAATGCAATATTTATCATGTAATAATTTATAAACAATTTTTTATTCATAGACGTATAAACATTTACTAAATTATTAAAATATGTGACCAGCTATAATGAAATCCTTATTATTTGCCATTTTATAAAGTTTGAATCGATTAGTAATTAGCCGATTTGTTGCCAACCATTCCAATAAAAAATATAAATAAATAAACAAATAATATGTTTATTATTTTTGTTGTCAATTCTCAAAAGCAAAGCAAATGTATAAATTCACTTTCATATGTTTATGTTTAATTAAAATCGTAATCATCGAGTGAACGTAATGAAAAGAATAGCGGTGTCAAGGAAAAAACATACGTTATTTGTGGGCATAAAGGTCCAAGTTTGCCGAACAATCGAACGTAAAAAAGATCACTTGATAAGATAAAAACAGAAATCGGTATTCGTTGAATGAGATTTATAGAGAAATAACATATAGGCAACATTTGCTTGTACTTATTTGCATTACATCTTTCTTCTATGTGCTGTGTTCCTTCAAAACGTGAGTGATCAAAACTCTCCACAATTTCCTATCCTTTGTAGCTCTTATCAATGTGTGCCTTTTTGGCTTATCTCTTCCACTGCCTGTTCAACCATCCATTTACTCAAACCTTTTAGGTAAGGTTAGTCATTGTTTCCTTCCATACGCCTCTTGTCATCAGTACAGTGAGTGTCAAATTATCCTCGCCCACTTTCTTTATTATGTGTCTGAGAAATTTCAACTGTTTCTAAGCTCAAATATTCATTTTGTTTCCATTTTCTTTCGAGCTTCTTTGTTTTTTTCACATGTTCTATTTATAGTATTCTCAGCATCCTGTCGAACCTCATATTTGTGGCTTCAAGTCTCCTCTTTATCCGTGAAGAAATTGTCCAGCATCCACTCCCATACATAGTAGTTCAGTATTCTTTTTTGTTTCTAACGAAATTTTCCCGTTCCTTAATACTTTTCTTAGCTTTTGGAAAGCATAATTCATTTCGAATAAAAGTTTTAGAGGAACGCATTGTTCTATATAGCAAATACTGAACGCGTATTTAACCTAAAGCGAGAGAATAGCATCCAGATCGATTGTAAATAGAACTCTCCGTCTGAAGTATATTCGGGCTGATAAGCGACTACAAAAGACTACATTATCTGATATTAGATCATTTTTAGATCTTACCTGAGATCAGTTTAGAAGTAAAAGAAGTAAATTGTTACAACTTTCGGTTCTAGTGTTCTAAGCAATATTAACAATTATGCGAATCAACCTACGTACAAATTCAGATATCTAATCAAGAGTAAAGTTAAAACATAACGGCGAAATTCTACACATGCTACCGAAGACAAGTCGCAACTACAGCTGATGGCACATTAAAAAAACCCCAAAACATTCTTTCAAATATAAACTCTGTTCTTTTTTTCCATCGCCTGAAAGGTCATTGAACCTAATGAAAAGCGTTCTTCTGCAACCATGTAAATAGTATTTTTCTTGTTTCCAAAATGTAGACATTCGGACTCTGCTGTCAACAAAAGACATAACTTTCAACAGCCAAACTTTAATATTTGATTCCTATTTTATGGAATAACTATTTCATAAAATTTCTGCCTATCGTGTATTTGCTTTTCATTTTGTATCGCTTTGATACCTCCTTGGGAGATAGACATGTCACTTTACGTACAATACACACGGAGTTAGTCTCAGTGGGTATTAAAAAATTGAAGTTTCTTTCCATTCTATTCTATTCGTTGCCGGAATCATAGGAAGAAAATCTGTCTGTTCAAATGAAACTGTTTTAAAACTTGTACAGATTTTTAATTGTTTTTATCAGTCATTCTTCAACATTTTTTCCCTCCTTTTTATGACATCGTTCACTAATTATTCATCATAATATCAATTTTTCTTTGGAATTAATATAACGCTTCTATCCAACAATCTCTGTAAAGATCGCTATTTTTTTGGTTATGAGTTATTAATATATCCTGGAAATTTAGAGCAGCTTAGTAATTAGTCATAGTCACAATTAATAGAATAAATAAATTTAAATTGTAAGTTGTTTTTGTCGAGTGGATATGGGGGTGTATAATGGATGGTGGCTCATAATTGGAGTGGACTCGGGAAGGAGTCGAAATGCTCCATAAAAAAGAATCTCCTCTTTTATTGAACAGATAAGAGTATGTACATAATTCAGCTGCTATCTATCTATCTATCTATCTATCTATCTATCTATCTATATCTAAGTCTGTTCATATCTATCTAATTCATACCCAAGTCTGTTAATATCTAATTCATACTCAAGCCTGTTCATATCTATCTATCTATCTATCTATCTATTTATCTATCTATCTAAGTCTGTTCATATCTATCTAATTCATACCCAAGTTTGTTAATATCTAATTCATACTCAAGCCTGTTCATATCTATCTATCTATCTATCTATCTATCTATCTATCTATCTATCTATCTATCTATCTATCTATCCTTTGAGATCAATGTCTTTTGCGAATTGTAGTACGAAGATTGAGATTTAAAATTGTCCAAGGATTGAAATAGTTTCACTTTATTAAAGCACTGCAGTGTTTTCTCGCTAAATTTCAATATTATGCCCGATCGTATTTTGTTTTCAGTTATTTCACTTTGTATTTAGACACCTACACTCATATATACACCTACATACACAAAGGCGCACACGTATACGTATAGTTGTGAATGTGCGTTGGCAGATATTCACTCAGCTGGTATTTTGCGCGGTTCATACTGACAGCTGACAACTAAAAGAAAACACGTATATAAAACGTGTGCTTGTGCAATAGCCAACATGAATATTTTTTTTCTTCAGATTATCCTAATTATATTAAACAACACATTTTTTTTTTCTTTTTGTTCGCTTAAGTTCGAAACACGCCGAAAGCCAGTCAGAAGATTTAATACTTAAGGGAAAGAAATAAAAAAGTCCCACCTCATAAAATTTTGTTTTCAACTTTTTCAAAACAAGCAAGCAAACTCGAAATATCTCCACACACAAAAAAAGAAATCACTGAAAACAAGCCTCTGTTTAACAAGTCAAGAAGATTTTTAAATAGTTTAGCACAAATGCTTAAAACAGACGATTTTTGTCTTCCCCTTTTTCTCTCTCCCAAAGTTTTATAGCCAACTATAATTTCCAATTACGGTCGTTTTTAGGGGATATTTATTTAAAATAAGAGAAAGTTAAATAAATTTTAAACTAGAAATAAAGAAAATAAAACTGTGTAGAACAATATTAGAAAGAAGAAGCCTTGCAGTAATTTCATTTTTTTTTTTAAATTTAAATAGATTTTCTTTCAACCCTGCAGTAGTTATTGCCCAGATGAATGTCGGATACGAAAAGAAAGAAACAAAGAAATTGTAAGTGAATTTTCTTAAAAAAAAAGGATGAGAGAAACTAAAATATTTAAAAAAAGGAAAAGACGAAGAAAACAGCAAATAAAAAAAGTTGAACTCAAAAAGCACAAAAAAGAAGTTGATTTAAAATGCACACACACATGCATCTACACGGAAAAAAAGAAGGAACAATGAAGAGTCTTGCTTGTTTTATGGTTGAGTTAATTACAATAACGTTGACTGTTTTACGCTCTCCTATCCCGAGAGATAAACTTATGTGAGTATGACGTCAAGAAGAACGTCAGATTTACGTCACGCGCGCGCCCACGTCTCATTTTTCACGCAAGACAGCCTTGCTGTCGTCCATCCTTTTCGTTACGTGTACACCCACCCCATCCGCGCTCATTTGTATCTATGGCCATTTGTACACATATATATCAGTGAGTGCGTATATTTGTCCATACACCATGTTGCAAACTGACTCGCATTTGCCTCTTGAAATCTCTTTTCGCTTGATTCTTGTGACTCGGATCGATAAAATGTTAGCTTTCGTAATAAAATCACCATTTTTTTTTTCTTTTCATTTTTTTTTTTTTAAAACCAGGATTCCCGTTAATGAAAAATATAGGATACAGTAACAGGCACGCAATATTTGTGCATAAAGGTATTTACATAGCTACATAAGTTTGACTATGTCTATATCATTCGCCAATGTATTTGCACATTGAACGGAAGTGCGTGGGTTCTGAGTTTAAACGATATATTCGGTGTCGGCGATGAGGTTTCGCATCAAGCCTGAAGTGCCATTTAATACCACAGAAAAGGCATGTGGTAATATACCCCTAGTACTAGAGTAAAAACTATGAAATGAATTCTTCTTCTATATATTGTGCCCCTTTAGGACGTTGGCGATCATGGCACTCCACAATTTCCTGTCCTTTGTAGCTCCTTATAACTTTGGTCTTTTTGTTATCTCTCTCTTAAACCTTGTTCCATCATCCATTTACTCAAGCTCTCGAGGTAGGTTATGCGTTGTTTTCCCATGTCCCGCTTTCAATCTGTCTTGTGAGTGTCAAATGTTCCAAGCCGCGTTTTTTCACTATGTACCTTAGAAATGTTAACTGTAACTTCCTGATATTAAGTATAAGTGTCCATTTTGTTTCCATTGTCTCTAGAAATTCGTCGTTGCTCACATGTTCGTTTTATGGCATTCTCATCATTCTTCTGTAGAACCACATTTATGTTGGTCTAGAATTCACTGACATATAGGAGAACTAATATTACATGAATGATTGAGTGTGTTGTCTTTCGAAGTTTGCCAAAAAATGAGACGATATCGTTTTAGATATATACTTATTTTTCAATCAATTATAATAACACATTGAAGTAAAGTTTTTTGGTGCTTTGAGCCAAGGTAAAATGTTCCCACTGTTTAAGCATTCGCTTATTTACGAATAAATAAACGTTTTATGTATATAGGCTGGTGTTAAAAATTACAGAGAAAAACATCTCTTTTGAACAACAGATATTTAAAAAAAATAATTTCCTTCCCTGTCAATGCACTTAATTCACTGATGAATATTAATCACACTGATCGAACATTATGCCCTGTAAATTTCTGATCTAAATCCAACTATTAAGAACGTATCAAGTGACAGTCTAATTGATCAACCCTCGATATAAAGCTTAAAAAAAATAAAATAAAGGAATTGATATCAAATTCTAATAGGCATGAAACCATTTTTACTCTACTGTTATTCCACCGCCAGTCATTTTGCTTGTAGCTATACTAATGGTCACAAGACAATGGTAGACAGAATGTGCGAGTTAGTACATAGGCAATTGCTTTTTCTGAGATTAAGTTTTGTCCAACATTGCAAGTTCAACATTGTTACAGAACCAGAACTTTAACCTAAGAACTAGAGTCATGTTCTTAAATAGCCACGTCATGGATGTCATTCCTGGCATCGATCACGTTCAGAAATGTTTAAACTATTGGCTATATATAACCGTTCTCGCAGATTTTGATTTTAAAATGGCTTCTAGCAAATGAACCAGACGGGTCTTTTAGAGGACTTTCCTTCATTGGATCGCTACAGAATCACAAAAAACTTTATCAACGAACGGAAATCATTTCACTTGAAGACTTCCAAAAGTAGCAACAACTAAAATGGATTGCACATGTAACTCGAAGAGAAAATAATGAAATAGTGAAGATGTTTACTTTTCAGACTATAAAAGGTTAAGCAGGAAGCTATCAATACTGAAAAAAAGCGATAACTGGTCTCGAGAAAACTATTTTCCTCAAATTGTTTTAATAGAAAGAGGTTATAAATTTCAACCGACAGTAACGCTTACTGTTTGCACGATGAATAACTAATGTTTTTTTTTTATAAGGGTCTTAATTGGTTTAGTGATTTTTTAGCTTATCAACCATTTACGCCGAAACATTAGCTTATCAACCATTTAAGCCGAAACATTTTCTTGCATTAACATTTCTTATAAGAATAACAATGGTTTTTCTAGATACAAGTCATACTATTTAAACCAGGAGGTCGGAGATGGATCCATAACTTTCTCAAAGCTATTTCAGTGTAAGTGAAATTTGAACTCATTTTTCATTCTAAGCCGCTATCCATTACGCCACACGCATATCACTCCTATAAGGGAACGGCTAATCTCAGCATTTGCTTTGTTATTAAATCAACCTTGAAAAAGCTAAAGAGTATGTACAGATCTTTTTGAAGATTGTGCATTTGTATAGAAAAACTAGAGAGACTAGGATAGTAACCATGGTTCGACCACAGACCGTAATGGAAATTATTTACACAAAGCAGATTTATCATATCGGCATGGCCGCCCACGATAACGGGTAGCCATATTGATCTCTCGTGAGAGAGATCAATATGGCTACCCGTGACTTTGCTCGGTCCTCTTTCAAACCGATAATTATACACTCCGTTTTCAGTCGTAAAGTATCAGTTACTCCTAGCAATTCTATTTTTTTTCAATTTACTGTTAATAACAAAATTACGTTTGCAGTCATTTTGTCCGAGTTAAATAAATCCTCAAAGTTACAATTGAGCTCTTAATTTGGAAGGCTTTGATTGATTTCTTTTATTTCAGATGGATTCATACTTGCCCAAGGGCATTGGCGCCTAAGTGAATATAACAAACCCGAATTAGAATTCGGCTTGCCGAGTTCCAATTCCCAGTCGTTAGCCATTACACCACCTGCACACCCAAGTTTAATGCACTTGGTATTCACAAGTGTTAACTGATCCAGCTATTAACCTGGCTCAACGTTGCTTAACTTCATTGATCGTATTTTAATGTAAGCCGGAAGTCTACGTGACACTGATTTGTAGATGGAGACGGGATTTCTTTCTTCTTTTACATTGCTCTAGAATAGAATCGAGTATTTGTTGAACTATATTGTATTTTCCTTTTAAAAGATTTTGCATGTGAACACACCTTGAAAGATGAACGAAAGCCAAACCATATAAAGTAATTACTCCTGTATAATTAGGCTTGCCAACTCTGTCAAGTTATAATAAAGGACACAAAGAAAAATATATAAATAGTAATTTTTAATTTAATCCCTGTAGATACACAATATAATTGAAAATGACATCGTGTTTTATTTTTCAAAGGACAAAGACAGAAAACGTTAAATAAAAGGTAATTTTTATCTCCCAAATTCAACAAAGGACAAAGCTTGAAAGAGCTAAATAAAAAAAATGTTTTTTTTTATTTTTTAAATTCAACAATAGACAAATACAGGAGGTAAATAAAGAAAGTTTTTTTTTATTTTTCCAATTTCAACAAAAGACAAAACTTGAAAAAATGAAATAAAGAATGTTTTTATCTTCCAAATTCAACAAAGGACGAATATAGATAAAGCTAAATAGAGGATGGTTTTTACCTTCCAAAATCAACAATGGACAATGACAGAAAGAACTACATGAATGTTTTTTTATCTTCTAAATTCAACAAAAGACAAAGACAGAAAGAGTTATATAAAGAATATTTTTCTTTTATCTTCTAAATTCAACAAAAGACAAAGACAGAAAGAGGCAAATAAGGAATGTTTTTATCTTCCAAATTCAATAAAGGACAAAGCTTGAAAAAGTGAAATAAGGAGTGTTT